GCAAGCAGCTCGGCGCAGACCGTTGGCCGCGGCGGCGGACTCGCGTTTGCGCGCTGCACTCGCTCGAGTTTGTGGAAAAGGACCGCTTTACCGTCGTTTTCTTCGGCGCTAGCTCCAAACCAGCTCGGCGCTGTTTGTGGTGGTGGCCAAGCGTACACTCGCTCTGCTGTTCGAAGTACGCTGGCGGCAGACACTCCGCGTGCAGCTCCGTGTTTGGTCTCGCGTTCACTTGCTCGAGCTGAACGACGTCGCTCGCTTAGGACTCGCCGACTTGTTAGCGGTAGGGTGGTTCGCGGAGTTGTGACTGCGGCCACCGCTCCTAAACTGTCGCACTACGGGGATCGAATTGAGCCTTTGACGGTGTGGTACATCACGGTGAAATTATTAGCATGTAATATTTCACATATGCTTTCATTTCACCTTGCACGTATTCCTCATATGCATTTGTATTCATCCACTGTCACGTATGACTTACTATTTTACATACTTATTGTGCAGCCGTGGGCAAACACCGTGCTGAAGACTGTGCGCTGGCGTCTGCGATGCCCGTCATCTATCTTCCGTCAGAGCAGCATCAGAAGGACTGTGCGAGATGTGAAGGTATAGTTATTTGTGTGTCATATTTAAATTCTTGTTTTTATATTAACGTGCACGTACTTGCCATATGCGTGCATCTTCATCTTCTGTGACCTGTGCCTATTTTTACTATATTATTGTACGTGCAGCCGTGGGAACACAACAGGCAGAAGGCTGCGTTCGCTGGCATCTGCAATGCCTGTCATCTATCGCTTCCGTCGGAGGAGCTCCCCAAGGAGTGAACGAAATTTGGCAACGAGACTGGACTTGCACACTTCACCATGAATTCACTTAAAAGAATGGGGAAACTTCATGTGTATGTAGACAAATAAAAGATTTCGATGCCTCAATTTTGTCTTTTGTTGTTGTCGTGACTGTGAAAGCAGTTACACAGAGGTGGCTAACTACTTTTTCGCGTGTTCTTTTCTTTGAAATTTGTTGCCCACGGCGCAGAAAAACAGGCGAAAAAGGTATTAGGCCTGGCGGAAAATAAACAAAAACAATGTTTGAACTAGGGACAAAAAATTCATCCGATTGGAGTATTTGAGTGGATCAACCGTTCGTCCGGCAAGGTGCAACTGTGAGGACTAACGGTTGCCCGGTAAGGTGTAAATGTGGGGATTAACATTTGCTCTATCAGGTGCAAATGTGAGGACTAAATGTTAGTCCTTTGGGGTGAACTGTAGGATTAACGGTTACTCACCAAGGTGTAAATGTGAGGACTAAATGTTAGTCCCTTGAGGGGACTAACATTTAGTCGTCACATTTACGTCCAAAAGGACGAACCACACACCCTTTTAACACCCTTTTGCCTTGGAGTGTAGGTACATTGGCCAAGAAATCGACGCACGGCCTTCTTGTCGGTGGGAGGCGGAAATGTAGCGATGGCGACTGTCTTCTGCGGATCTCGTCTTACTCCGTACTTGCTTATCACGTGGCCCAAGGACAAAAGTTCCTCTTACGTCAAAGGGCATTTTTCTGCCTTCAGGCTTAGTCCGGAAATCTTGATGGATTGAAGTACAGCTGCAAGGTGCCAAAGACGCCACTGTCGTCCTTTATAAAAGGAAACACGTGAACGCGTGTTCCCTGCTGCGAAAAATCGCCTACATAAGTAACATCGAACCTTGAGCCTTCAGAGAAATGCAAAAGAAATTAAGCTTTAAATTTAAAGCACTCGAAAGACAAGAAATTGATATCATTCAACCTTTCTGTCAAGTGCTGAAATGTTCATGTAGCGGAGAAATACTGATGAAGATTGAATTTATGCATGTTTGCGAGAACTGATGAAACGCTGGAGATGTATGCATGTCAGGCCAGGCGATGATAAACTTGTACTGTGACTGTAGATACTTCACTGCTTTGGCTGATATAACTCACGTTAACCACCGTTACTTCGTCATCGTGCGGGCCGTAAATCTAAAGGTCAGAAGATTGACGTCGATGCAGCTGGCAGTCATGAAGCTGTAATCGTTCTCCCGCCTAACGTCAAAGAAAATTACCTTTTTACAAGTAAGAAAATAAATATCACTGGGTGAATATTTATTCTGATTGTTTCCTAGCATTTTCGCCTCCACCTTTGAGTGGCTCCTAAACCACATTGAGTTCAGAGACCAGAGAGCAGTTCCTTTCAAGCCTTCACTGCCCATTCTGTCCATCCTAGCGGAAAAGTGGCTGCTGTGCTCGGCTTCTGACCTAGAGGTCCCTGGTTTGATACCGGCCACGGTGGTCGCATTTCGATGGAGGCAAAATGGCAGAAGCCCGTGTATTGTGCGATGTCAGTGCACGTGGCCCTGTGATGCTTTTTCGTATATGTTGTGCAGCACTCACGTTCGCATAGTGACGAATACTGAGATGAACGCAAAAATAGTTATCACAATCGGTACATGGTAACGGAAGTTAATAGCTTTCAAACCTAAAAACTCCAACAGACGACAAATAAATGATATGTTCGTGTTCTTATTTCACTTTTTTTTTCTAACATCAAAGGTTGTTTCCAATCACAGCGCGCCTAACACGAGGAACGTAAATTTGTGCGATTTACTTCGTATATAGGGGCCGTTGGGTCGTTTTGCAGGTGTTTTGAGGTTTTCACATCTAAAACAGAAATAGTTTTTATCTGAGGAAGTATAGATATGGCTTTTCTATATTTAGCGAACAATAGCTGGACTGTCTGAGACCATATGAATATTTCGCTTGACTTGGCGTCGAAATGATGCAAACGCAAGGCCTATGTCATAGATTAGGTACATTTCACTGTGGGGCAAAATACATTGCGTGAGAAGGGGGGGGGGGACAGGTGAGAAGAAAGTGAGGCACGCAACAACCAACTGTGAAACGTACCGGAAGGAGACATTTCTGCACATGCGTGAACAGCCAACGCATGACGTGTTGTGACATGGTCAAGACATCATATTATCTAGGAAGCGCATTTCTGTCGAATACGTAGGTATAGATAAGTTACTGACACAATAACACCCTTTCATCATGATGGAATAGGCTTCCAACAACTCTTCTAGCAGTTTGTTTGCTGCTTTTGCCGAGAACCCACGCTTGCGCTAAGCATGGGTCACACCCACAGGTGTTACAATGCGCGGAAAAATGCACCTAATGTCTCTTAGCTGTGCTGTTGTCGTGCTCCCTCAGTGTGTCATTATTATAAAGTCCTGTTTGGTCGATGTAAGACTTGCCGCATCTTAGGGGTATCTCATATGCTACCCCTTAGCCACAGCGCCCGAAAGGTTTTTGTGTGGCTTCTGGTAGCTCATCGCGTCTTAAACGCGGGCACAATTTAGCTAAACAAATGTCTCAAAGGCTGTAACGAGTGGCTGCACGACATTTAGTAGGCTAACGTGGCTTCCGCGAGCCAACAACTAAACGTGGAAATACCTGTAGCTCTTTTAGCGAACAAAAAAAAAAAACGCTTTGCCGGCGCGCATGCAACCACGCCTCTTGCAGGCACGTCGAGAGGTGTTCCTGCATAAAGTGTATGTACAACGTGGGAACGTCTGCAAACGTTCTCACAGTGGCACCGTGGGAACGTCTGCAAATTGACGCACGTGGTTCTCCGTAGCTACGATAACGACGACGTCGAAAAGAGCAATAGCAAGGTACTGTGAAGGAAACTATGATGCGACATTATGACTGATTGATATGTGCGGTTTAACGTCCCTAAACCACCATATGATTATGAGAGATGCTGTAGTGGAGAGCTCCGGAAATTTCGACCACCTGGGGACATTTTCGGTATGTCTTTATGAGATGTACGCGGTGATTGGGAACGGTCTTTGACGTCAGCAGGAGAGTAAAATGCGAAAGCGAACGTGTCTCGCCGTCGCCAACTCGAGTTCTGATTTTGGAAGACTCATAACTTTGCTTCTCGTACCCGAATTTACATCATTCTTGTTGCATTCGTCTCTACATTCATTGCTACACGCACTACGGGGCTGATTAAAGTAGTCGCAAATTGTCTTGCAGCCCCTTGTTGTTGACCGTAAATTTGTGCAGAAAAATGCAGCAAAGTACTTGTTCAAGATATACTAGCAGCGTTCAAGCCATTACCACACCTTGTAGATTGTGTTTTGTGTCATTCTGAGTGGATGCATAATCTATAAGATGCAGATCACATATTTTTGAAAGAAAGAATTCATAACAGAGCGGCCAGGTATGTCCTCGGCAGGTACCGCCAAATGGATACTGCCACAGCGAGGAAACGATAATCGAATGAGAATAGTTGTCTTCACGTCGATGAAAGTCAAGGCTGAAATTACTCTTTTTCAGATATTTTACAAGGTTGACGTTACAAAGGAAGCATACACATTTTCACCTTTCTGAAAGAAACGATCAGAAGCGCCAAATCTGTGAATGCCCATAGTCAGGGCCGTAGCCAAGAGGAGGCGCACTGGGCACGTGCCTCCCCCCCCCCCCCCACTAATTTTATTTTTGAGAAGACACAGAAAGCGAAGAATGGCCATTTCAAGGGCTTGATCCTCCCGAAATCAAAGTCGTGCTGCCCCTCTCCTCTCCCCCCCCGAGAAAAATTACTGGCACGTGCCTGCTCAGGGCGTCTATGTTCGCAGATTATTTTTGAAATGTGTAGCTGAATACGAATAAGTTTGTTGTGCAAACGACGAAATATTTGTACCAACGTCGTAAACCCCCCTGCTGCAACGCCCAATGGCAATGCGGTGTCATTCATAAACAAAGGAGAAAAAAAGACCTGCTGGTGCTACATGGTTTGGTGCTGTGTTTTATATTTTTAACAGTATCGAATCATGTGACTTTATGAGAATAAATCAGGAAGCGCTCTTTCTGTCTCTCTCATATATGACAGGTAACTAACAGTGCAACACTTTAGAATAAATGCGTGAATGTTGTTTTTGTTTACAACAAATTTCTTGCTCCATTTGCAAACTCGCAGCCTTAGAGCCATGGACAGACAATCAATGGACCTCCAGCAGAAATGGCTGGGATATTGGATGCTGTATGTCTTCGTCAACAGCTTCGAATGGGTCTTTGCCAGAGTTCAAAAGTCTATAAAACGGATTTATGTTATCAAGGTAAGTTGTACAAACGAAAACTGCTTGTACTGCTTGTACAAACCAAAGCAAGTGCTGGCTCATGACTCAGTTTACGGTGAGGTACGCATGAGGGGTGCATCTATAAGCAAGACACCCAAAGTGCTTTTTCCGCGTGGGAATGTGTTACACGAAATATAGAAACGCCACAGTGTGTGCCTGTTTCCTCGATTCCACCGTCTGTATTCTGCCCTGACTCGCTTCGCTGAACCACTCAGTCTTGGCTCAGCAGCCGTCCGAGATAAAGGTTGCCATTGTTGCTCCTGCCAAGTGCGAAATTCGTCATTCGCTTTTTGCACGTCAAACCCAAATATATTATTCGTCAGTGGAAAGAGGTGTACGGCGACGAGTGCGTTTCCCGTCAACACGTTCGAAAATAATGCTGGGAGTTTCGTGCCAGTTGAAAGGACGTCCATGTTGCAGAGAGCAGTGGAATGCGTCAACTGCGTAGGTGATTATCTACTTGGTCCAACGCGACGTGCTTCAAGAGATAAAGATGCTAAGGTTAAAGCTTGGGCGAGTTGGTTCAAATACATGATTAAAGACACAGCGCAAACAACGGCAGGAAGAAAGGAAGAGACAGGACAGAGCGCTGACTTACAACTGATCTTTATTAGGAAATGCGAACAAATATATATCATGGCAGGCAAAAAACACGTGTCCACCACAATATCAAAAAATTTCGCACAAGCGTCACCATCACCATATCGCTACTGTCTCACCGCACACGTGTTCATCCTACAGATAAGAAGTCCATCTCTTTTTGAGAGAGGGTTACAGATGCCCTACTTACACATTGATCTTTCAGACGTGCAATTTCAGCCGCTTCCATTATCTCCCTAGTTTTTCTTTCTTTGTGCCTGGCTAGGATTTTAGTGTCGCGAAACTGCGGTGTGCACCCACAATCCCTACAATGGATGCCAAGGTGGCCGCTAATAGTATTTTTCACGTTGTACTCGTGCTCCTTCAATCTTGTGTTTACGCACCTTCCTGTTTGGCCCACGTATATCCTTCCACAGGACAGCGGGATCGAATAAACTACATTTTCCGCGCAAAGTATGTAGCTAAATTTATGATTTACTGCGCAGAGCTGCGGCCCTCTTGCGGGTTTATTCACTTGCGCACATATGGACAACAGCTTTATCGGCGCAGAGAACAGCACTCTGACGTTGGCATGCTTCCCTATCTTTTTCAAATTGTGTGCGATCCCATGCATATACGGCACAACGGTACACTTTTTATTTCTGTCGCACTCCGATAACGATTGCCGGCCCTGGGTATGCTTTAGCTTTTTTAAAATGGATTCTGCGACAGAAATTAACAGATGTGATGGATAAGCTGCTGCCTTAAGGCGTTCAAGTTGTTTACTGAAGCTCTCTGAAATTAAGTGGCGACAAGACTTCTTTAGGGCATTAGTAAAGCACGTAGTGGCAATAGACCTCTTTACCAATTTAGAATGGCAGGAATCAAAAGGTAGCAATGGTTTACTGGCTCGTGGCTCATACTCCCAGCAAATGTGATCTGTTTCAAATTTAAGCTTTAGATCAAGAAACCTAATGACCTGCCCCACTGGTAATTCATGCGTCAAAACAAGTGGCTGGAAATGCTTTCGAAATTCATTTAGCACTTCTAACATTAGTGGTTGTAGGCCTGATTCGTCCGTCTGAAAAATAACTAAGAAATCATCTACGTAACGGAAGACCTTGGTCAGCCTTAAAACATTCATGTGGTCGTGCACTTGCCTATCTAGATGCGCTAGGAAAAGATCACTTAATATCGGAGCTATGCTAGATCCAATGCAGACCCCATTTGTCTGGATGTAAACCCTGTCATTCCAAGTTGTAAAAGTCGAATTAAGGTACATGGTTAAAAGCTCTAAAAAACTGCCAACCGCTAACCCTGTGTCGTTCTAGATAGCATGGTGCAACCATGCGATATAGATAAGCATGGTGCAACCGCCTTTCAGAACGACACAGGGTTAGCGGTTGGCAGTTTTTTAGAGCTTTTAACCATGTACCTTAATTCGACTTTTACAACTTGGAATGACAGGGTTTACATCCAGACAAATGGGGTCTGCATTGGATCTAGCATAGCTCCGATATTAAGTGATCTTTTCCTAGCGCATCTAGATAGGCAAGTGCACGACCACATGAATGTTTTAAGGCTGACCAAGGTCTTCCGTTACGTAGATGATTTCTTAGTTATTTTTCAGACGGACGAATCAGGCCTACAACCACTAATGTTAGAAGTGCTAAATGAATTTCGAAAGCATTTCCAGCCACTTGTTTTGACGCATGAATTACCAGTGGGGCAGGTCATTAGGTTTCTTGATCTAAAGCTTAAATTTGAAACAGATCACATTTGCTGGGAGTATGAGCCACGAGCCAGTAAACCATTGCTACCTTTTGATTCCTGCCATTCTAAATTGGTAAAGAGGTCTATTGCCACTACGTGCTTTACTAATGCCCTAAAGAAGTCTTGTCGCCACTTAATTTCAGAGAGCTTCAGTAAACAACTTGAACGCCTTAAGGCAGCAGCTTATCCATCACATCTGTTAATTTCTGTCGCAGAATCCATTTTAAAAAAGCTAAAGCATACCCAGGGCCGGCAATCGTTATCGGAGTGCGACAGAAATAAAAAGTGTACCGTTGTGCCGTATATGCATGGGATCGCACACAATTTGAAAAAGATAGGGAAGCATGCCAACGTCAGAGTGCTGTTCTCTGCGCCGATAAAGCTGTTGTCCATATGTGCGCAAGTGAATAAACCCGCAAGAGGGCCGCAGCTCTGCGCAGTAAATCATAAATTTAGCTACATACTTTGCGCGGAAAATGTAGTTTATTCGATCCCGCTGTCCTGTGGAAGGATATACGTGGGCCAAACAGGAAGGTGCGTAAACACAAGATTGAAGGAGCACGAGTACAACGTGAAAAATACTATTAGCGGCCACCTTGGCATCCATTGTAGGGATTGTGGGTGCACACCGCAGTTTCGCGACACTAAAATCCTAGCCAGGCACAAAGAAAGAAAAACTAGGGAGATAATGGAAGCGGCTGAAATTGCACGTCTGAAAGATCAATGTGTAAGTAGGGCATCTGTAACCCTCTCTCAAAAAGAGATGGACTTCTTATCTGTAGGATGAACACGTGTGCGGTGAGACAGTAGCGATATGGTGATGGTGACGCTTGTGCGAAATTTTTTGATATTGTGGTGGACACGTGTTTTTTGCCTGCCATGATATATATTTGTTCGCATTTCCTAATAAAGATCAGTTGTAAGTCAGCGCTCTGTCCTGTCTCTTCCTTTCTTCCTGCCGTTGTTTGCGCTGTGTCTTTAATCAGATAAAGATGACCGTCCGTGAATATGTTACTCAGATGCATGGGAGTTTTTATGGTATAGTGTAAAGAGCTTCGACTTGAGAATTGCGGTATCACAGAGTTTTCTGCGCGATGAATACGCATGTGTTGAGATCTGAGCACTAGCAGAAACGACTTGTCTGTAGTCGCCGATTCCGTCAACAGTGTCAAGAAGACAAGGAAGAATCGTTGGGCTTCATTGTTACGGGAGACAAAACATGTGTATTTCATTTCAATGCTGATATGATTCAAGAGTCGAAATCATAGCATCGGTCTAGGTCACCAGTCACAAATACTTTAAAGTCTAAGCCGTATCGGAGTACAAGGGTATCGCGATAGTGCTTTTGCAATATTTTTTATTATCTGTTTTTGTGCATCAAGATACATTACAAAATGTAGTCATATCTCAGTAGGTAAATGCTTGTACGATGTATCGATTTTAATACAGTAGTTTGTTTTTCTTTCGACGCGGTTATTTTGTTAGTTCTTGAAAGGAAATGATCACACGTATTTACAAAAGAGAAATGAACACTTTTTGGGGATGAACAAGGAAAATGCGCGATGAGGTGAGTGACACAGACAGGGTAATCAAGAGCTCCCTACACCGAGTGGTTCATATGGTAAACCACTCAACACCGCTTACGGCATAAGCATACGGCCGGCTGTGTCCGTCAGCCTTGCGGAGAAAGTCGCTATTTTTCGATGTTGGTGAAGCACCCAAATATTTTTTCGGGGGTTAGCCATTTCGCTAGTTCACGAGTCTCGTGTTTAGGCCAAATTGATGGTGTCTAGCATGCAAAGCCGCAAGCTAGAGTTGCCGGAGTGCAGAAAACAAAACGACCATCCCTGAAAAGCAGTCCTTCAGAGTTAAATAAATGTAATAATTTCATTTAATTTTCATTCATTGTACCCTCAGGGCTGAATCATTACAGAGAGGAGTGGTTAAAACAACAATATATAAAAATTAAAATGAGCAACAAAAAATATGCGATACAAACGGTATTATACCAAAAAATCAAGAACAACAGAATATACATCAGCCAAAACTAATTAATTACTGTAGGTTAAAGCTCCCAAAAATTGCTGATTAGTAATGCCTGCTGTGAGACTAGGAAGGTGGTTCCAGTCCTTGCAAGTCCCATTAGTAATGCCTGCTGTGAGACTAGGAAGGTGGTTCCAGTCCTCGCAAGTCCTAGGCAAAAAATTAATTACTGAAAGTGAATGTCCTGAAAATAGGAACAGCAACCTTATGTCGGTGATCAATCCGTGACGATACAAACGAGGAGGTGAGATTAAGTCATTGCGTAATGAACGATGATGAAATATGCGATGAAAGAGACAAAAACAGAACATTTTACGGCAGGATGATAATGATTGTAGTTCAAGGTTCGCCTTCATGTTAGCAACACAAGTGAGTGAATAAGAATCCCGGCTGCGGCGGCTGCATTTCCAATGGAGGCGGAAATGTTGCAGGCCCGTGTGCTCAGATTTGGGTGCACGTTAAAGAACCCCAGGTGGTCAACATTTCCGGAGCCCTCCACTACGGCGTCTCTCATAATCATATGGTGGTTTTGGGACGTTAAACCCCACATATCAATCAATCAAGAGAGTGAATAAGGTTATCAT